GGTTGAGGGTGGGGGGGGGGAGGAGGTTATGACTTAGGAGTGAAATCCTCCTCGACAAGAATCCTTAAGTGTCAGAGAAAATAAAGAGATCATGGACTTTCACATGAAACTAGTACGGTTTCAGGAGGAAAATGTGGTCCTGGTATGAAGGCTGCTGAACATGAGAAAAAAGAGAGTAGTCAAAAAAAAAAAAAAGTGGATAAGGGTTCAAGAAAACTAAATTACAAAATGCACCAAAATATAGATGAGAAAAAGCAATTTTAGGTTTCATATGGAACTCTGAAAATAGAGACAAATACGGGATTTGAGTAGAAATCCAAGTGAAGGAGCTCTCTTTGCAATTAGCTGCAGAATCTAGAGATAATGAATATGCCTGCATCAGGAGCTGATGACAGTGAAGCAAGCCAAGGGGAGGCCAAGGCGAAGCCAGTGCGCGAAGCAATGCTCAAAGATGAATTCGCAATGGAGGTGGCCAAGACACCTTAATGGAGGATGGAAGGCACCAATACCTTTTTCTGGAACATTAGGCTTCTCCTTTTTGTGCTTATATTTGCTGACAATTTTGTGGAATAAGTTCTTTTTCTGAGACTGGAAAGAACCTATAGACAATATTAATATAAATATATTTTAAATTCACAATGTTCCATAAAACAATGCTGTGTGTTTCTAAATAATTACACCCTCCTCCCACGTGTGAAATAAGCGAATTGAGTCATAAGAAATGTCGCCTTGAGTTGTTACTCATTTAACTAGTGCTCAGCCTCCTTTTTTAGGGGGCTGAGCACTATAAAACCCAGTGAGGTTTTCCTTCAAATGTATTGGGCAGAAGCCTCCATTAGGGCTAAGACTCTCTCAGCAGAAATAAAGAGATTTCGTGACTAGAGACAGGCCACAACTAATAACAGCAGAGTAGCTGCCATCTGTAACAAAGAAAAGATTTTACTTTCGATTCCCAAATACTGCGAAGAAAAGGACTGCACGGGCATTCATCTCTCCTAAGAAACTGATTTTCACAAGGACAACACTTTCAAGACAACGGTTGGCCTGATAGCATTACATAACTTTCTAGCGCCTCTTCTGAGGATATTCTAGGAAGAAAAAAAGTGATTTGAAAACAGAAAGATTTATTTGCCAAAAAATCTTTTTTCTGGTGCAGAGAGAAGCCTCAGATTGTAGCTTAGTTTTCTCAGATAGAAAAAATAGAAGGCCATTTTTTAATCACCATTCAGAAATGCCAACAAGAGCACTGACCTGCCCAAAGTAGGTTATTTCTATACTGTGATATTCCTATTGTGAAATTGACTTCATCGTTTAAATAAGTCTGCTTCCTCGTCTTCAAATGGTAATAATAATAGTGTCTCATTCACAGGCTTGATGTGAGGATTTAAAAAAGTTCGGAAGCTCTATAAACTGCCCCTGCGGCACCTATCCACCTAACAGCACCTGCAACCACACGCTTTGCCTTACAGAGGCAAACTAGGCTCCTGTCTTAAATGTACAATTCAGTGGTTTTTATATTCACAGATATTTGCAACCATCATCATTCTGGAATATTTTTATCACCTCAAAAATAAATCCCATATCCCTTAGCTATCACCCCTCCCTATAACTGCATTCCCTCTATCCCTAAGCAATCACTAATCTACTTTCTCTCTAAATATATGAACATTCATATACAAGCTTTTGTGTTCATTTCTTTTGGACATAAACCTAGGAGTGGAGCTGCTAGGTTATGGTGTAACTGTATGTTTAACCTTTTGAGGAACTGTCAGACTGTCTCACAGCCTCATTTACACTTATTACACTCCACTAACACTTGTCTTTTTCATTATTAAATCCATCTCAAGGATGTGAAGTGGTATCTCGCTCACTGTGGTTTTGATTCGCATTTTCCTGACAACTAATGACGTTAAGCATTTTTTCATGTGCTTACTGGCATGTGTATACCTTCTGTAGGGAAACAGCTATTCAAATAGCTTGCCCATTTTTAAATTAACTGTCTTCTTGAGTTGTGTGCGTTTTTCATATGCTCTGTGGAATGTTTTCTCACTTTATTACTAGTGTCCTTTGAGGCACAAATTCTAAATTCTGATACAATCAAATTATCTATTTTTGTCTTTTGTTGCTTGAGTTTTTCGTATCATAGCAAAGGATCCATTGACAAATCTGAGATCACTAAGATTGACCCCTATGTTTCCTTTGAAAAGATTTATAGATTTAGCTCATATGTTTAGGTCTTAGATCCATTTTGAATTAGTTTTTATATATTGTGTGAAGTGAATAAGGGCCCAATTTCATTCTTTGGAATGTGGATATCTAGTTGCCCCAGCACTATTTTTTGAAAAGACTACTCTTTTTCCATTGAACAGGCATGGCATCCTAGTGGAAGATCTGTTGACCAATGATATATAGGTTTATTTCTAGACCCTCAATTCTATTCCATTGACCTATATGTCTATCTACCATACTGTCTTACTTCCTTTCTTTATAGCCAGTTGTGAAATTGAGAAGATTTTCCTGGCTATTCTGAACCCCTTGAAATTCCAAATTAACTTTAGGATCACTTGTCAGTATCTACAAAAGAAGTAAACTAGGATCCTAAGAGGGACTGGGCTAAATCTGTAGGTCAATTTGAGAGAATGTTTCCATCTTAACAATATTAAGTCTTCTAATCCATGAACCTGGGATGTTCTTCCATTTGATCATCTTTCTTTACACAATGTTTTGTAGCTTTCAATATGTTGCATGTCTAAGTACTTTATTCTTTTTTGTACTATTGTAAATGGAATTGTTTTCCCTAAGTTCATTTTGGGATTGTTCATTGCAAGTGATTAAGAATACACATGGTTTTTGTATAATGATCTTGCATCCCATAACCCTGCTGAACTCATTTATTAGTGGAATCTAAGTTTTCGAGTGGAGTCCTTACGTTTTCTATATAAAAGTTTATGTCATCTGCAAACAGATAGTTTTACTTCTTCCTTTCCATAATCTGGATGCCTTTTATTCTTTTTCTTGCCTAGTTGTCTTGGCTAGAACTTTTATTACAATGTTGAATAGAAGTAGTGAGAATGGACAGGCTTGATGTTAGCTGTGGGGTTTTGTAGAATGCCCTTTATCAGGCTGACAAAGCTCGTTACACTGAGTCTGATGAGCGTTGTTGTGAAAAGGTATTGGATTTTGTCAAATATTTTTTTTACATCTACTGAGATGATCATGTGCTTTTAAAAAATATTTGATGTTGTTGTTCTATGGATGTGGTAAATTAATTGAATTCTGAATGTTAAACCAACCCTGCATTGCTGGGGTAAAATCCCAGTTAGCCATGGTTATAATTCTTCTTAATATATGCTAGTTTTTGGTGTGCTAGTTTTTTTGTTAAAGATTTTTGTGTCCATATCTGTTAGAGATACCAGTCTGCAGTTCTTTCTTGTGATGTTTACTTTTGACAGTAGGGTAACATTGGCATCACAGAATGAGTTGAGAAGTGTTCCCTCCTCTTCTAATTTTTGAACAAGTTTGTGAAAAATTGGTATTGGTTCTTCTTTAAATGTTTGGTAGAGTTCACTGGTAAAACCATCCTGGCCTGGGCTTTTTTTTTTTTTCTGGATAGTTTTTTGATTACTAAATTCAATCTCTTTATTAGTTATAGGTTTATTCATATTGCCTTTTTTTTCTTAAGTCAGTTTCAGTAGTTCGTGTCTCCCTAGAAATTATCCATTTCATGTAAATTATCTAATTTATTGGCATATAATTGTTCACAGTATTCCTTTGAGTTTTCTCTTTTTTTCTTGGTCAGTCTAGCTAAATGATTCTCAAATTCGTTGTTCTTTCTAAAGAACCAGCTATTGGTTCCATTGGTTCTTTTCTTTAATTAACTCCACTCATTAATTTCCTCTCTTATCTTTATTATTTCCATTCATCTTCTTCTTTTAGGTTTAGTTTGCTCTTCTTTTTATATTGTCTCAAGGTAGATTAGGTTATTGATTTGAAATCTTTCTTAATATATGCATTTATAGCTATAAACTTATCTCTAAGCATTACTTTAACAGCAGTGGTTCTCAACCTTCCTAATGCGCGACCCTTTAATACAGTTCCTCATGTTGTGGTGACCCCCAACCACAAAATTATTTTCGTTGCTACTTCATAACTATAATTTTGCTACTGTTATGAATCGTAATGTAAATATCTGATATGCAGGATGTATTTTCATTGCTACAAATTGAACATAATTAAAGCATAGTGATTAATCACAAAAGCAATATGTAATTATATATGTGTTTTCCGATGGTCTTAGGCGCCCCCTGTGAAAGGGTCGTTTGACCCCCAAAGGGTTCTCGACCTACAAGTTGAGAACCGCTGCTTTAACAGTATCCCATAAGTTTTGGTATGTTGTTTTCCTTTTTATTCATGTCAATGTTTCTGATTTCCCTATTAATTTCTTAGTTTCTTCTTTGGTAATTAACTTATTGGTTATTTAGAGTTGTTTAATTTCCACATATTTGTGAGTTTCCACATTTTTTCCTTGCTGTTGAATTTTAATTCCATTCCACTATGATCAGAGGCATGATTTGAATTATTTTAATCCTTTTAATAAAAATGTGTTTGTTTTATGGCCCAGTATATGTTGCATTCTAGAGGCAGTTCCATTGAGAAGAATGTATATTCTGCTATTGTTGGGTGAAGTGTTCTATATACACAGAGAGAACTGGAATATAGAATTATTTTCCTTCCTTGTTGATCATTTGCCTAGTTGTTATATCAAACCTATTCTTTTTTTCATAGCACTTCTAACCTTCTAATATGTCATATACTTTGCTTATTGTTTAGGCTCGTTTATTGCCTGGTAACTACACCATAATGTAACATCCATGGCAGGAGGGTCCTTTGTTTTCTATCACAAATATATTCTACAGATATATGCCTAGAATGGCGCTTAGCACACAACTCATTCTCAATTATATTTGTTACATCAATGAATAAATAAAGCTCTTAAGTCACTGCTTGGCACAAAGTAAGAATTGAAGACATGACAGTTGTTGCTATTATTACTAATAACATAAAGTTGTGCAGGTGCTTTTTGATGACTACACCAAACCATCCTTCTAAGCCATCCTTCTAAATAACCAATTAGCAAATACTTCTGAATTGGCTGATGGTGGTTTAAAATAGAAACCAAAATTTTCCTCTTATTGGTTTTTGTTTCCCAGGAATAGAAAAATAAATAAATTTAACAAATACAAAGAAAATATATCATGTGTACACACTGCACTAATTAGTACAGATATTCTCGATAGTCCATTTACAGTCACCGCCTCATATGTATTTTATACAACCAAGAGACTTTAGGTTAGTGTACCTGAATAATAGATACATGGGTAATCATAGCAAACAGAAGTAGAAAAAAGAAGAAAAACCATTCTGAGACTTCTTAAGACTATAAGGATCCTAGTGATTTACCTGCAGGAAGATAATTTAACAATGATAAGGAATTGGCTCACAGGGAGAATGATTTCTATATTCATCAGTGTGCATTTGTGTGAGGATAATGGGATAAGACAGTGATTCACAAAAGAAACTGATGTGACCTATGGAATGG